CTCCTCTCCTCTCCTCTCCTCTCCTTTCCTCTCCTCTCCTCTCCTCTCTCCTCTCCTCCTCATCCGGCCCTCTTCTCCCCTCTCCTCAGCCAGCCCTGCTCTCTTCTTGTCTCCTCATCCGGCCCTCCTCTTTCCTCTCCTCAGCCACTCCACTCCTCATCCGGCCCTTCTCTCCTCCGCCAAACCTCTCTCCTCTCCTCTCTTCTCTCCTCTCCTCAGCAGCCCCGCCGCACTCCTCATCCGGCCCTTCCCTCTTCTCCTCAGCTGCCCCGCGCCTCTCCTCAGCCATCCTGTTCTTCTCTCCTCCTCTCCTCATCCCGCTTTTCTTCCCACTGGCCACGTTTCTCCAGCTGACCGCCGAGGCCCTGCGAGGCCCTGAGCTGAGGAGCGTGGCCGAGAACCGGGCGTTAGATCACGTGGAAACGCCTCCACCGGTGGTTCCCCCTGGAATACACTTTCCCCCCGGCTGGGCTCACACTTTTCTTTTTCAGGTCGGTCTCTCCCTTCCTCCCTTCCTCCTCTACTCTAGTTCACTTGGACGAGCCACCGCGTCCGCCTCTTTTCCTGCCCTTTTCACACTCCAGACTCACCTTGGTTCCATGTCCTCGGTGGCAGCATCCTCCTGCCTGAAAGTTTTACTTATTTATTCACTTTCCGTCTTACTTGCATGTAACTTTGTTGGCCCAGAAAATTACAGAAAACCTATGTGAAATGGTTCCGTTTCATACTCAGCTCTTCGTGCTTGTTATCAATAGATAGCCTTGAGAGCATTTGAAGAACTTTGGGTCGGAGGTCGTTTTCCTTAATTTTAGCAGAACTTTAAGAACCGATGCTGAATGGCAGCATGCCTTGGAGATTGTATCGAAACCTTGTAAGAATGGACATTTAAATCATTTAAACTGAAATCAAAGACCGTGTGAACAAAACTTCTGCACTCTTGACTGCTGTGAATACTCTTTTCCCTTTCTGAGAGTGATTTTCTTTTCAGATCTATATTTTGGAGTGTTTACGATAATACAAAAACAATATTTCTAGCTAGCATATGTCCATTATTTAGTCTCAGTAACACCCATGGTTAATCTTGTGCCATCTACATCCCCACTTTTTTTTTTTCTTCTATGTCTCAGAAAGAAAAAAATGTTAGCTCTGGAGTGTATCCTCATATGTATGTGTGGGTAGGGTGGGGTTGGTTTTTTATTTTGTTTTTACCAGCCCCAAAAGAGTTGTTTTGTTTTGTTTTGTTTTTCGAGACAGGGTTTCTCTGTGTAGCTTTGGAGTCTGTCCTGGCGCTCACTCACAGAGATCCGCCTGCCTCTGCCTCAGGAGTGCTGGGATTAAAGGCATGCGCCACCAACGCCCGGCCCCAAAGGAGCTTTTGATAGTAAGCCCTACAAGTCAAAAGTAGCTTAGGTTTCAAAATAAAGATTGTAGCATTGTATAGAGTCGTTATGTATTTTTGTTGGAAGATAACCTATTAAAAGTTCTTCCTTGAGCTGAGGTGATGGCTCAGTGGATAAAGTGCTGCACAAACATGAGGTCCTGAGTTCAGATCCCTATCATCCATGTAAAAGGCCAAATGTGGCACTCATCTGTAATCTCACTGCTGAGAGGCAAAGACAAGAAGATCCTGCAAACCATTTGGTAAGATCCAGGTTCTGTAATAGACCCCGTCTCAATAACATGGACAGGCTTGAGAGATCAGTTAAGAGATCTTGCTATTCTTTCGGAGGACCTTGATTTCCCTGCACTGTTTGGTGGTTTACGGTTAGCAGTAACTCCAGCTCCAGGGGATCCTATTGCGACACATGTACACAGACATACAATTACACAATTAAAAATAAAAACAGTTGGAGAAAATGGCTTAGAGCTTAAGAGCAGAGTGCTCTTACAGAGGACCTAGATTTGATTCCCAACATCTATATGGTGGTTCACAGCTGCCCATAATTCAGTTTCAGGGGATTCAGCACCCTCTTTTGGCCTCAGGCTCCAGATATACACAGACCTACATGAAGGCACAACACTCATTGACATAAAATAATGAAACATTAAAAAAAATTTTAAGTGGGGAATGACTAATTTCTAGTTTCAATATGCTTATACATGAATGAGAGCTTCCAGATCATCTTATTCAATATCTTCATCTATCTTCCTCTCTCTTTCTCTCTTTCTTTCTTTCTTTCTTTCTTTCTTTCTTTCTTTCTTTCTTTCTTTTTTTAAACAAGCCTTCAGGTCATTGACTTGACTTGTCCAGACTGATAGTTCTAAGAGGCTATGTTAAGGCTAGAAAGAACATACCATTTTCCCAACCCCATATTAGGTCTTCCTTTGCCACAGTGAGGTGCCACTTTTAGGTTGCCTTGAAGTGTCTGATAATCATAAAAGGTTTAGATGAGTTAACGTGAACTTTCTCAGGGAAATAGAATAGTACAATGGGAATATCCTTTTATTTTAAAAATAAATATGGAACAAAGGAGAAGTTCTGATTATAGCTTTTAGAGGGCTTCAGAAAATACTGGCTTAAAAATGGTTGGCAATAAGAATAAGATAAAAGAATTTAGATAACTTTTACTGCTGTTTAATATAACGTCACAGGGGATCATAATAGGGATGGGGATGAAGCTCAAGTGGTGGGTCACTCAGAATGTTTGAGT